ACAAAAATCTAGCGCATTTTTAAAGAACTTTGAGGGGTGTTTAATCGTTCAGTAAAACGTAAAACCTGTGGAATCATATTTTATTTTTGGTTCTTAAATAGGATGGAAAAAAAGTGTTTCCTGTAAAATTGTATCTCACATTATTATAAAGAGGACTTTGCTTTGCTTTGTGTTGGTTCAGTTGTGTGTTCTAAACATGTAAACTAGCTTTGGGTAATTGTACTAGGAATTAACCTAGTTCAAAACCTTAATAATTTCTAAAGTACTAACAAAGCGAAATGACTTTGCAAAGCATTATAGTTGAACAGATGTTATCATTTCCCCAAGAGTACATTATAGTTAGTTGATATTCTTGTAAAGAAATATAAAGGTCAAGAATAATTTGATTACATGGAACGGTGCCCCTTAATACTATCATGGTTCATTTGTGATTCATATACTGTGTCTTGAAAACAATGTAGTTCTTAAATTAATATTCTTTGTTCATTTTTAACCATGCTGAGGAGACAACGCATCAGCTTCAATCTTCTCTTATTATCACTGCTAAAGCTTGTTTAAAATCAAATTTATGCGCTAGCGGTCTTCTTGGAAAGGATGAATATATAATCCTATTTAAAAGAAATTAAAAAAGAAATTTCCAACTTTGTCTGAATGTCTGAAAGGAATCTTCTGAATGAATAGGCAGCACCTTCACTTCAGAAATATTTCCTCAATGGAAGTCATCCTTGCCAAGTGTTTCATTAATTGGTGGATCTGCCAATAATAGCAAGTAATAATGTTAGCATCCTCATATAGCTCTTGCAAATAAACCATTTTGTGCTCACCTTACAGCAGCATTCTATGATGAAAAAACCAGGATCCAGAAATAGAAATAAGATAGATATTCTGAAGAAATCTTTACAGGACAAAATTTTCATTTATGAAGACTCGGTGAAAGATGAAGATTTGAATAAGGTAAGTACAAGCTTTTTCTGTACTAAGGTCAAAACCTAGAACTTTAGCAATTAAAGAATGACAGTTATTTATCAATGTGAGTAAGAACCAGATTAAAAAAGGCATAAGGTGTAGCATCATGATGCATCTCTCTACTCTTGCCTGCATTTTTCAAGACGCATTTTAAGCTTAATAGTTTTAACTTTGTTTTAATTTTTGCAACTTAGTTACAGAACTAATTTCATGTCTCTCCCTTTTTCATTCTGGTGGTTCTGGGGCTTGGTAAATGCATGATTGCAAGGCTTCCCTGGATCCTGTGGTTTTCTTAGTAAGGCTTACAAAACATGGAAGGTGCTTCACGGCATACTTCAGTTGAGCAACATTTGTTTTTGGACATCACCTAACACTAGTGAAAACCCGGAAATGCTCTTAGATCCCAAGACTTCTCGGGAGGGGTCTGAGATTATTTGTACAGAGTGTTTTCAAAGGGAGACGTGATTCTGGTAGGCAAAAGGCTCATAGGCCCAATCTAAAATTAATCCTCAAGGACCGAGTGGGACCAGTGTCAATATGGGATTTTTCCCTGGTCTGCCAGCAGATATTCCATGAGGTCTTGTTTGTGATCATAGAATGGTTTGTGTTGGAACAGACGTTAAAGATCGTCTAGTTCCAACCCCCCTGCCATGGGCAGGGACACCTTCCACTAGACCAGGTTGCTCAAAGTCTCATCCAGCCTGGCCTTGAATACTTCCTGGGATGGGGCATCCACAGCTTCCCTTGGCAACCTGTTCCAGTGCTTCACCACCCTCTCCAGGAAGAACTGCTTCCTGATATCCAATCTACATCTCCCCACTTTCAATTTAAACCCGTTACCCCTTGTCCTGTCACTACAGGCCCTTGTAAAAAGGACCACCCCAGCTTCTTTGTAGGCCCCTTCAGGTACTGGAAGGTGCTGTAAGGTCTCTCAGGACCCTTCTTTTCTCCAGGCTGAACAAGCCCAACTCTCTCAGCCCGTCCCCATAGCAGAGGTGCTCCAGCCCTCTGAGCATCTTCGTGGCCCTCTTCTGGACTCGCTCGAAGCAGTCAATATCCTTCTTATGTTGAGGGCTCCACAGCTGGATGCAGAATTCCAGGTGGGGTTTCACGTGAGCAGAGAAGAAGGGGAGAATCAGCTCCCTTGACCTGCTGGCCGCACTTCTCTGGATACAGCCCAGGATACGGTTGGCTTTCTGGGCGGCCAGCGCACACTGCCAGCTCATGTTCAGCTTTTTGTCCATCAGTACCCCCAAATCCTTCTCCTCAGGGCTGCTCTTTAACCTTTCTCTCCTTCTCTTCCCCACTTGTAAAATATGGCTGATACTGCTCTTGTATATCAGAGGAACGTTACAATGATAACAGAGGTGGTACACAGCTGTGTAGAACAAGCCATTGTTATTGGTAGTTAAAATTGATGGATGAAACAGTTTCACAAATTATTGCAATACCAATTTGGTCAAAACTGTTTTTACACCTTCCTATGCTTTTTATACTTGTATCCCGAGGAAAGAAAAATACTGTGTCAACATGTTTTTTCAGAAATAATTCCCTTTTATGCGAGAGCAATATATTGTTAGTCTTGGTTGCAGATGATAACAGCAAATGTTTATTGGGTCCAGCACCTGGTTTTTGAGAGCAGGTGCTTGAGGAAGAATACAACAAGTGGGCAAGTGTGTTCTGGCACCCTTTAATAATTTAATAACTCTGGTCCAAGAATACCCTAATCCTTTAATGGAGGCATTTGTTGTGGTTTAACCCCAGTCAGCAAGCAAGTGTCACACAGCTGCTCACTCGCCTCCCCTTCCCCCTGCGGGTTGGGGAAGAAAATTGAAGGAAAAGGTAAGAAAACTTGTGGGTTGAGATAAGAGCAAGGTTAAAAATTGAAAATAAATGAAATAAAATATTAATGATATTATTTTCATTACATATTATTAGTAGTATTGTTAGTATTATTAATAAGAGGGGAGTGGAAATTACGCAATTGCTCACGACTGGCTAACCAACATCTATCTGGTCCCTGAGCAGTCAGAGCCAGAGAGTGAATCTGAGACTGAGAGACCTGAAAGCCAGACTCCCCCCAACTTATATACTGTGCATGTTGTCTTATGGTATGAAATATCCCTTTGGTCAGTTTGGTCAGCTGTCTGGGCTGTGTCCCCTCCCAGCCTCTTGTGGAGAAGAAACTGGGAACATAGGCACAGTATGAGAAAGTGAAAAAGTCCTTGGCTTAATATAAACATTGCTTGGCAACAACTAAAAATATCAGTGTCTTGTCAGAATTATTCTCAGCACAAATCCAAACCGTAGCCTCATACTAGCTACTATGAAGATAAATAACTCTATCCCAACTGAAACCAGCACAGAATTTAAATTTTTGTCTTCGGTACCTAATGCCCCGACGTCTAAAATTTAATCGGTGTTTTTTAGCGGCCTTTTTTTGTTTGTTTGTTTGGGGGGTTTTCATACTGTTACTTGAAAGTGCAACAGAGTGAGAGCTAAGCTTTTATATTACAAAAAGTACTGAATAGTTGTTTGTATGAATATTGCCTTACATTTTTGTTAGAGTCTTGTTTTAAAATTGGAAAGTTAGCTTCTCTAAGCCTTATTGTTTCAGTTCTGTATGTACCATCTGGCATACCTGTTGTTCTAACTGTATGGCTGCACATTAGTTATAAAAAGCCAAATGCTTTGGGCTTTTCCCAGTAAGGAAGCTAAACTATTGTTAAGGAAAATCATTAGTTCACACATTATCTTTTGGACACAGAATTATCGCAATAAACCTTATGTTTTAATCATTCTATGATTCTATGTTGATCACAGAAGCAGAGTTTCTTTTTGCTGTTGCAATCTGTTAGCTTGTTCCTCATTTAGAATGTTATGCTTCTAAAGTTTGTATTAATTTGTTTTTATCATCTCACTCAATATTAACCATCTGAATTGCACAGCCAAATCAAGGCAGGGAAAAGATTGATAGAGCTCTACTGTATTTCTCCAGCCTTCAGTGCTGCAGAATTCACATGGTGTCCTGGGTTCTGTGTCACTACAGGATGGCTGTAAAATGGTTTCCAGCCAATGCTTATAAAAGCAGCAGCAGGATGTGTTTTGTAATACTGTAAAACAGGCATGACAGAGGAGAACAACTCTTAGACATGAGAGGTGGAGCTGGGAGGCCACAGGAACTTTCAAGTCTAGTCTTGGAGCGCCTGAGAGTATCATTGACCTTATTGTGAAAATCTTCAGAAGCAGACTATATCTACTTTTTTTATGTTTCATAACTGTTTTGAGCTGTCTTGTGCATGAGTAGATAGCTGTTCCTTTCTGAAATAGCAATTTTATCTCAGAAGAAACACAGTGGTAAAAATACTGACATTCTTTAGTCTATATTTTCACTTCTGGGCTTAAAATGCCCAATAATACTTGCATGAGAAATGTCTTTGGGGGTGAAGGTAGTCAAGTACATTTTCAGTTTATTCACTATACTTGTAATATTTAGGACTGAGACAACACTAGGTAGTAATTAGTCTGAACTAAATAGGGAACTTCGAAGTCAGTGCTTTTAAGCAATAGACTAATCATAGTGCATTTATAGCATTGGCAATTTTGCTGCAGTTTGGATGTTTTTGGTAGAATCAGCAGCAAATGCTCATACCTATAGGAGTGGATTCATCATAACCGAAGTAGTTGGACACCCTAATAATATTACATCAAAGAGTACAATGTTAAGCAGTATTTACAGTCTTCTGTTTGGTATGATAAAAAGCTTAAAGAATGGCAGGATGTTAGTTCATAACTAGTTTATAATTTAGTGTGCAATCAATATTTGATCCAGCTTCTACTGAAATCACCTTCTGTGTCACACTGAAGGCTGGTCTATTTACAAGCTTTGATTTTCACAGATGTATTTCTCTTTGTAGGGCTATGATTTCAGAGTTGACAAAAGGCAGAAAGAAACTTAGGTGGCATTGAGTAGGTTGTAGTACCAGTTGAGTAATGCAACATTTTGTTTGGTTAAGATCAGTTAATTTACTGTATAATATTGAATGAATGTTGAATGATAAAGCTAAACATCATTCCCATAAAATCATAGGACAGTTTGTGTTGGAAGGGACCTTCAAAGGTCATCTAGTCCAACTCCCCCTGCCATGAGCCAGTAGATTTTCAACTAAATCAGGTTGCTCAGAGCCCCATCCAACCTAACCATAAATGTTTCCAGGGATGTGGCATCTACCACCTCTCTGGACAACCTGTGCCAATGTTTCACCACCCGCATTGTAAAAAAATTTCTTTCTCACATCTAGTCTGTATCTACCCTCTTTTAGTTTAAAACCATTACCCCTTGTCCTGTCACTACAGACCCTGCTAAAAAGTTTGACCCCATCTTTCTTATAAGCCCCCTTCAGGTAGTGGAAGATTGCTTGTAAGGTCTCCCCAGAGCCTTCTGTTATCCAGGCTGAACAAGCCCAACCTTCTCAGGTTTTATAGCCTTTATTCGTAAGAGAGGTGTTCAGTCCCTCATATTTTGGCATGCTTGACGTATGTTGTCATACTTAATAATATACAAATAATATCTAGTTTTGTACTTTGGATTCTTACAATTCATGGAATATACTGAACATATATAAACCCCCTGCTATTTGAAGTCATTGACAAAAGTATAAATGTTCCTGTCATCAGTGGCATCTCTTTTGCCTTTGAATTCAGCTGCAATTAAAATATACATTTCTGTGTCTCCTTATACGTGAACTTGAGTTGCCAAACTGCATTTCCATCCTTATTCATTATTCATTTTAATGGGTTCAAACTTACACTAAAGGTGATCACTCATTTACTCATTCATCTATTCATTATTCATTCATCCATCCCCAGATGTCATATACGCATAATTCATTTTAAATCCTTGTGTCTGAAACTGAGCCTCCTGTGAAGAAAGAGGCAAACTTTAAATGCAGTTGTGTGCACAAACCTGTCAAAACATTTCTGTGTAA